TGGGAAAGCAGCTGAGGACAGCCCAAAACCTTGGGACCCTGTACCCATGTGGAAGACCCAGGAGAGGTTCCTGGCTTCTGGCTTCAGATCAGTGCAGCTTGGGCTGTTGCAGCCACTTGGAGAGTGAACAACAGACAGAAGATCTTTTCTCCGTCTTTCCTCCTCTCTGTGTGTCTGACTTTACAGTGAAAATAAAATGAATCTTTAAAAAATATTTTAAAAAATTAAAAATTAGGTATTAGGTGTCCAGTAAAATTAACACAAAAACAAACAAAACCAATGAATATATGATCCATCATCCAACCAAGAGCTAAAGCAATGATCCAATCACCTTTCGAGGTGAAGGAAGATGAAAACGGTCTTTATGACGAATCTTCCTCTGTAATGATTTCCTTGCAACGTCCCCGACACATGCAAGATCACTCCTGCTTCTATGTCTTTGCTGAAGTTCCTCCCATCCAAAATTCCTTTCCCTAACACCGTGCCCTTTTTGAAAACTTGTAAGGTCTACTTCAAAGGACATGGCAGCTAAGAAACTGTCCTATCCGAAACCTGCAGTTCATGCAGAATTTTTTCATTTGCTCTAGTTCTAAGGGACAATTTATTTTCTTTTAAAGGTGTATTTCTTGGGGCCCGGCGCGGTGGCGCAAGTGGTTAAGGTCCTCGCCTTGCACGCCCGGGATCCCATATGGGCGCCGGTTCTATCCCGGTAGCCCCGCTTCCCATTCAGCTCCCTGCCTGTGGCCCGGGAAAGCAGTCGAGGACGGCCCAAGGCTTTGGGACCCTGCACCCGCGTGGGAGACCCGGAAGAGGCTCCTGGATTCGGATTGGCATAGCATAGGCCATTGCACTCACTTGGGGAGTGAATCATCGGACGGAAGATCTTCCTCTCTGTCTCTCCTCTCTGTATATCCGCCTTTCCAATAAAAAAAATAATAAAAATAAATCTTTAAAAAAAAAGTGTATTTCTTTGTATTTGAAAGGCAGATTCACAGAGCATAGAAGAGACAGAGAAAGATTCTCCATCCGCTGGTCCACTCCTCACGGGGCCACAACGGTTACAGCTGAGCTGATCCAGGGCCAAGAGCCTCCTTTGAATCTCCCGTGTGCGCGCAAGGGCCCAAGGACTTGGGCTGTCCTCTGCGGCTTTCCCAGGCCACTAACAGGGAGCTAGAACAGAAGAGTAGCAGCCAGGATGAGTACCCATATGGGATGCTGATGTTGCAGCTGGAAGATTAGGTTGCAATGCCACCGTCCCAGCACTGACGATTCAATTAACACTGTCACCTTTTTTCAATTTCTGGCATTTGATCATTTTCATTCCTACTGCCAACCTAGTCTATGCCCTTATAAAAATACATTCTAGAGGAACGAGCCAGCAGATGGAAGGTTTCTCTCTCTCTCTCTCTTTGTAACTCAGTCATTCAAATAAAAAAAATATACATTCTATATAAGCTGCTAGTATGCCTTGGAATAGCTCAGTAGTTATGAAATTGGGCTTATGGCTCCTAGAGGTAAAAGTCAAAACACCTAGGTTCAAATTCCAGCTCTTCCATTTATTAAGTTATAGGAACTTGGGGAGTTAAACATGGAGCTAACCTCTCCATGTTTCAATTTCCTCAGAGGTTGATGTGGAAAAAAAAAATAAGCACCTACCTCAAAAAAAAAAAAAAATGTTAAAATAGAGAGCATATAGAACAGGGCAAGCAAGCTACATAGAATATACACAAGTGTTAGTTAAGCTGCTGGCCGTTTTTCCTCCCCCAGGCCACTGGATACACTATTGTCATGCCACTTTTTCTTAAAGAATGGTTTTGTTATATTAGCGTTCTGTTCAGAACTCTCCTTGGCCCTCCATAACCTAAGGGTCCATGTCTGCAGCTTGGCACTGCACAACTTGGCACCATACTACCTATTCAGCTTGATTTACTTGACACCTTGTATATACAAAATAGCAGGAAATACACACAGTCATTCTCCTCCAGATCTGACAACTACACAGAGGGGGCACAAACATAAAAAGTCACAAAAATGGTTGCCCACCATTTTCCAAAAGATCTCCTCAATCCAACAAAATCAGTGTTCTTGGCATTGGAAAAATGCTAAACCCATTCAAAATTATCTGCTTGCTTGCTTTATTGCATTTTCAATACTCAAGCCAATGTATATGCCCCAATTTTAAAGTCTAATTCAAACACCAGTATCCTTATATCCTTTAAACTCGAATCATCTTATCTGAATCAGCTTTTCCAAATGTATAACCACCTTCACTACCCAGTACATTAGTTCCTAGAAAGAAGGAATAATTACATCTAGCTCTTGCTACTTCCTTCCCTCCTCACCACAAGGACTTTCACAGAAAAAGATCACTATGATAGAAAAACACACTCAAAAAAAACACACAGTGAGTTCAAAGAAAAGACTGGAAGTAGACAACTACTACTAAGTGAAGTACAATAAGGCTCTGTGGTAAACTACTGTGCCAACCACGAGTCTGTCAATAGTCCCCAAAACCTTCTATCAAACAGGGTCATGCAATTAAAAAGTAACAATCTATTCACTATCCCTTCTATATAACCACCATCTAGGTAGCTTTATTTGTTCAGTGCTACTTTGAATCAACATGATTAAACATTCTACTGTCTGTTACTTAATTTGAAGTTGGCCTTCAAGGGCCAGCTTTCAAGCAGGGCAATAACTCAACTGCTAAATGCTTGGGAGGCTGACTGGGAAAGACATCACTTGGAGGCAAACCTGCAGGTTTAAGTAAAATAAGATATTCCATGAATTTAGCATGAGAAAGTGTCAATAGGGGACAGTGCTACGACACAGGTTAGGTTGCTGTATGGAATGTTGGCACCCCAAAGGGTCACCAGTTCAAGCCCTAGTTGCTCCCCTTCCAATCCTACTCCCTGCTAATGCACCTAAAAAAGCAGTGGAAGATGGTCCAAAAACTTGGACCCAGATGGAGTTCCTGGCCTCCGACTTGAGCACGACCCATCAAGTGAACCAGCAGATGGAACATCTCATTCTATCTATGTTCACTCTCTGTGACCCTGTCTTTCAAATAAATAAATAAATCTTGAAAAAAAAAAAAAAGGACAAGTCCTTACAAATAAATAAACACATAAAAAATAAAGGGATAGCCTCATATCCAGAGTTTTACTTTATCCAATACAGTGAGGGAGCGAGGCAGAATGGCAGAAATAAGCCCAATCTACCCTTCAAAGCTAAGGCTTCCTAAGTAACAAGTTCCACTCACAGTTTTAACATGTCATCCAATTCCAAGCTAAACATTCCCTATTGATCTACTCTTAGTCATTGCAAAACCAGCCCACTGTGAGGACATTAGTACAGCCATTAGTACAGCACCTTTCATGTAAACACTACTTTTCAAAGGTTTTTTTTTTTTTTTTTTAAAAAAAGGAGTCTCCTTTGAGTTCTGAAGGAAAATAAGTGAATTGATGGCGTATGCACATACATTCTGAGAGCAAACCAGAGCCAAGCCCTTATCTAACTATGTAGAACCCAACTGGTTGCTGAGGCAGTGGAGGAAGGGGAACAGCGAGCAAAGAAAGTAAAAGGTGGTTAAGGTAGCAGTGGCTGGAACCAATGTGCAAATTCAAAGGCCAGAATGGTGAATTCTATGAATGACTGTTTTAGAAGAGTGTGTGTATTTTGTGCAGTCTTTGAGGCACCTAAACTTCAGCTTCTAGGGACCAAAAAAAAAGTCTACTCCATAGGTAAATAGACACCTGGTATCATCTGGTATTACAGAGAAAAATGAACACACTTTCCAGTTCTGGCCCCACACACAGAGTAGGTTATGGGGATTATGCAAGCACACAGCACTTGGGCAATCCTTCCCTCCTTTCCTTAGAAAATAATTTATATAATAACTCCTTAATTCAGTAGCTACAGGAGCAGCACTGTTCGCTCCTCCTTGCGAGGCTCGGCTTTCCTTCGCTGCAAAGCACTGAATCCTGAAAAAATTCAAATTGTTCTTTTAAGGAAGACTTAATCATTTATCTCAGAAAAGGGCAAAAAGTCAGGCAGCGAAATGTGAGCTATTCCTATTAAGTCTTACATAACTTAAAGTTGAAACGAATTCAGTAGTTCAATTAAAACCTGAGGCTGGAGCACAAAGATGAGCTCTCTGAGTACAGTCCTCACACACAGTTTTTAAAACTTGAAGGGCTTAGTATTTCCTTAATACAGAAGCACAGATCTGTATAGTCAGTTGGGATATCAACAGAAAAATGCTGAAATTGTTATACTCGAAAGAAGTATCCCCTTTGGAGAAGGGGGTAATTAACAGAAGTGTAGTTTCCTAACACTAACTTCTAAAATGTCATCTCTGTAAGGGATGACACCAAGAAGTAATTTCCAAAAGCAATACATATATGTCAGCTATCCACTGTCACCTGTAAACAAGACTGAAAATGTAAAACCACAGATGCTCATGCTTTATTCAACTGACTGCCAATTACTCCTTCCAGGGTGAACACCTAGCAAAACTTCTCAACAGCATGAGTTCCACACGAGCATCTGCCCTTACTGGAACAGGCCCTGATCTCAACTCGACTCACAGTCCAACCCCCCAGATAACCTGAACCCTGTTGAAAAATCGGCCATGGATGCCCTGCTTGGCTTCCCGCATTGAATCCACCTTTCTAAAAAGCCTGAAAGCGAGTCTCCAAGCCCGGCTATCTAGTTTTCTCCCACCAAATTAGGGTTTGTGGTTTCACTGGGAATGATCAGCACTATCAGGCTGCCCATCGCCCTCTGAGGCATTTGGTTACAATACCTTCTGTTTTCCATTCAACCACCTCACTGCCATTTCCCCCAGAACCAGAGCTGCCTCCCAGGCTCTGCGCAGTGTTCTCTCGGAGGGTGCAAAGCCTGGGATCCTGCATCACAGCACCTCCTGAGAGAGGGCCAAAGGCAAGGCAGGTAGAACACGCAAACACGCGGCGCCAAGACAACGTGGGTGACATTACCTTGCCGGTCTTGTGATCGAACCAGACGAGAGCATGGTTCCTTGATAGCACTTTGCAGTCAAAGGTGGCATTATTCTGCGCCGGCCGGCAGCGGGCCACCGAGCGGCCGATTTTGATGGGCTCGTCCAGGTAGACATGACGCTCCTGAAACGGGTGCGAGTTCGGGCGGCAGGTGAAGATGGCCAAAGCTGACGGCATCGAGGACAGCCTGGGGGTGCCTCTCCTACCAGGGACAACGAGGAGTTCCTCCAGATCTGCACTGTCCTTCACCAACGTAGACTCCCCCTGCCTATGCCCCACCTTCCCACCCCCCCAAAAATTTTTTTTGCCAATTATAACAAACTGCGCATCGTCTAAGAGTAACCAGGGCACATCAGCAGCTCTCGACTGGGGTGGGAAGATGGCCCATCGCTTCCTTGCACATCCAGCAGCGCCCCAATCGCATACAGTCCCCCGCTGGCAGCAGCCTCTCTCAGTCCATCTTCCCTGGGAAGGAAAGGCTCACACATCGGGCAGCTTCGGCCAACACAACTCCTGGAAGACACTTCGGGGGGCAGACAGCGATTCCTGGGCAGTGCTGGCGATCGCGCGACCGCAGTCCCCTCTCGCTGGCGGAAACGGTGCAGCACTGCAGCATGAACGAAGGGGTCCGTCCGGGGACTGTCGGCTGCAAGGTCCTCAGGGGGCTCGAAGGGCAGCCGCCGCCCGTCCGCAGGGGCCCTGGGTGGCGACGAGACGCGAGCAGAGGCCAGCGAGGAGCTCTAGGCGGCCAGCGGGACAGTCCGCATCGCCCCTGCTGTGCACACCCGGGGGTCCCCAAGCCCCTTGCACGGGATGAACCGGCGGCGGTGGCTGGGGTCTCCCGCGCGCGAGGCGTGGGTGCAGGCAGCGGCCAAAGCCGGAGTCCCCCGGCACCTGGCGGGCGTCTCCGCGACCAGGGCGGGACCCGCTCCGCAAGCAGGCCGGTGCGGACCGGAGCGAGGCCGGCGGGAAGTTGGCCCCCTGGACGCCCGGGCTCCCGGCGGGGGCTGCTCAGCACACGGGCCGACTCCCTTTCAGGGGCGTCCCCGCGAGGGTCGCATCTCAGGGACGGGCAGCCCCGGCTCTAAGCGGACGGACGGGGAGGTGGGGGAGGGAGGCTGGCCCGGAGGTTGAGGGAGAGGCCTGGAGGCCCCGGGGCTGAGTCCGCCGCAGCCTCCACTCGTCGCGGCCAGCGGGGCAAGGCTCAGGCTGTGCCCGAAGAGGCAGGAAACTTTCCGACCTGCGGGGGGAAAAACATCAAAACAAACGGCCGTCAGGCGCCGGTGCCCGCCCGGCTCAGCCCTCGCCCCGCTCAGCCAGCCCCCTTAGCCAGCCTCCACCGCTGCCCACGACCTCCCGGCCGACCTCGCCGCAGGCTCACTGCCGGGATCGGAGCCGGGACGCCACGACGACTCCTGCCTCCCCAGCCACCGATGCCGCCGCGGTCTCAGCTTACCTTGCCAGCGCCCGCCGCCATAGTGACTCTGACTGAAACCTACCCGGTGCACAACCACGGGAACGCGCACCCTTCAAGGGCCCTCCTACCCCTTCTCCCGCGCCGTAGCTTGGGGATGTCACGTGGCAGACGCCATGGAAGCCATGTTTGTCGAGGGCAGCAAGCAGGGCAAGCTGACTTTTAATGAATCCTCCGGGAGCCATGTTAGTTAAGGGCAAGAAACTTCAAATCCCCGGATAGCCTGTACGACCATTTTGGTTAAGGGCAAGAAAGAATTTGAGCTGTTGAAAGTTTCAGAAGCAAATCGTACTAACTGCCCACTTTTCCTTCTTTCAGTCGAGTACCAGATTTGGCGAAATTTTATTCACTGTAGCTCTTTTTGAAAGCAGCCACGAGTAAAGGAAACAGATCCGAGTGCTAGAGATAGTCCTTAGAAGCCATCTTAGCTCTGGGCACACAGTCACCCTCTGCCGCTTGGGGGAAAGCCACCAAACTCCCACAAGTCTCGGGATTTGCGCCTTAGGTATGACAAGAACCATCCTTCACTCGTAAATTCTTCGCTGTGTTTCCTGAAAGGAGAAAAACTTCCTTGGTGCCTGCATTCCGACTTGAATAACCGTCCTCCAACATGGAATTAGAGGGAATGAGACTTCAGAAAATTTAGAATCACTTTGCTTCCAGAAAGAGGTCGGACAAGTTCCAGTAGGAAAAACAGAATGTTGCCTCCCCTCAAAAATCTTAAAACATGAGGAGTTATTGGCCTAAAGAAAACAAGACTTTAAAAAAAAAAAGAAGAAGAAGAAGAAGAAGGCAAGACTTGGACCCGGCGTGGTAACCTAGCACCCAAAGTCCTTGCCTTGCACAGCTGGGATTCCATATGGGCGCTGGTTCTAATCCTGGCTGACCTGCTTCCCATCCAGCTCCCTGCATAGGGACACTGGGAAAGGCTTCTGGCTCCTGGCTTTGGATCACCTCAGTTCCGGCTATTGTGGCCACTTGGGGAGTGAATCGATGGACAGAAGATCTTCCCCTCTGTCTCTCCTCCGCTCTGTATATCTGACTTCCCAATAAAAATAAGTAAATCTTTAAAAAAAGAAGAAGAAGACAAAGCTTTTCCAGAGCTAACCAAAACTTCAGGGAAAGATCTCACTAGAAGTCGTTTAGCACAAGGAAGGCCTCATTCTTCAGATTCCTGTGACAAAATTCCTCCACCATGACCTTGGGCAAGTTTCTAAACTTTTTCAAATGTCTTTCTCACCCACAACGTGGATATAGGATCGTTAATGCACTTGTTGTAGCGAGACTTCAAGGTGATGCCAGGTGTCAAGTGCATGTTGTGCAATGAAAGTGGAGTTATTATTTATTACAGTATTTATATTTAGAGCTTTAGCCCCATGCAGTGCTGGACCCCAGGGACTCAGGCAGGGTGGCCTCCTGGCCCAGTCCCTGAGCCCAGCTGCGATTGCGTTAGCGGTGGGGGAGGGGTGGCAGAGCTACAGACAACTGATCTCGGCTGTCAGGAAGACTAAGACAGAGGCGAGCTACCACGGCGTCAGCGCCAGACGGGACCGAACTGAAGGAAGGAAGGTGAGAAAGCCGCAATAAGTGTCGTGTAATGCTGAATGTTTTAATAATAAATTTCCGGGTAGAAGAATAGCAAGGAAAGGAATAAGGCTATTTGAAGCAGCTGCAGCAATGTGCACTGGTGGCGTGGTTAAATAAATATTTGATGCGTTCATGAAAATTGCATACAATTACTCATTATTAGAGGATAAGGTAGGAGTGGTACAAAGTAGGTCTAGACAATAGGCATTACTGGGATTCAATCTAGGTCTGCCACATGCACTGAGGGGTCCCGCTACTTGAGCCATCACCCGTTACCTGCCAGCATCCTCATGAACAGGCAACAGCTGGCCTCAGGAGCCAGAGGGTTCACTCAGGTGTCCTAACCCCTGGGACACTGCTTTTCTGTAAACTTATATACTTTTTTGAGACCCTTAATTATTTCAGCAAATATTTACTGAGTCACCATTGATCCCCAGGTTCTTTGTTCTATAGAAAAAAGGGTATGCTGGGAAGTTTTCCTTACAGAAATTTTGTTTGTCGGTTTTTAATTTCTAGTAACTTTTAGGCTTGTCTAAAATAAGAAGGAGTCTTCCATAAATCCATAATGAATACTGTCCACTAATTTATGAGTCATTAATATATTCTTTCTTTCATTCATTCATTCTATAAATATTTTCTTGAATGGCTGCTGGTAAGCAGTTATCTTGAAAGACCCTGGAAATAAAAGAAGGAAGAAAAAAGATTCCATTGTAGCCTATCATTTTGCCATACCAGTTAAAGCTGCTCCACTTCCGATCTAGCTCCCTACTAATGGCCTGGGGAAAGCAGCGGATGAGGGCCCCAGTATGTGGGCCCCATCACCCACATGGGAGACCCGGATGAAGCTCTTGGCTCCTGACTTTGACCTGATGTAGTCCTGATCTTTGTGGCCACCTAGGAAGTAAACCAGTGAATGTAGGAGCTCTCTGTCTCTCCTTTCTGTAGCTCTGGCTTTCAAATAAATAAATAGATCTTTGAAAAGATATCCCCAAAGCTGCTGACAATTTAGGTGGTGACATACTAATATCTTTGATGTAGTAGAGAGTATAAAGCACAACAGGAAGCACAGGACAGAGTAAGTGTTTTATTTCAAGGTTTATTTATTTTCTTCGGAAAGGCAGATTTACAGAGTGAAGGAGAGACAAAGAGAAAGATCTTCAATCCGGGTTCACTCTCCCAGGTGCCACAGTGGCTGGAGTGGAGCCAATCCAAAGCCAGGAGCCAGCAGCATTTTCCAGGCAGAGTTCAAAGGCTCTCCCAGGCCACAAGCAGAGAGCTGGATGGAAAATGGAGCAGCTGAGGCACAAACCAGTGCCCAGATGGGATCCTGAACATGCAAGGCAAGGATTTAGCCACTGGGCCATTGTGCTAGGTCCAGGACAGAGTAATTTAAATTGGGACTTGGAAAATGAGTTCACACTAGGCCAGCTAGTCTGGTACTAATGTGATGAAAATATTTTTAAGCCAAGAAAATGTTATCATCAAAGATCGAGAGACTTGAAAGAACCGATCTTAACGAGAAATAAGAGTGCATCTACATTACTGGAATATGAAGAATGGTTGTGGTGACAAAAGTGCAGTTTCAGTTGCTGAAGGACTTCTCGGCCATGCCACAGACTTCAGAACGTTTCCATCTGCCTCTCGGGAGGTCAGTGGACAGTAAGGAAAATTAAGGTTTTGAGAGCCAACGTGGCATCACTGTTTACCAACACTGTAAATGGTAAATGATTTAACACCTGTAAATCTCATTTCCTCTTGGAGAAAAGTACAAAACATCTCACAGACTTTTATTAGGTTTAACTAAGATACTGCATGACAAAATGCCAGCTACAAGGCCTAGAAACTAATAGATATTCAGAGAATGGTCATTTTTATTATCACGGCTCATAATTTGAATTTCTTCAACCTTGTAAGTAAGGAGGCAGGTGTTCTATCCTGTATGCAATCACCTCTGTGCCTCAGGTGATAGGCAGGTAAGCTCTAAGCCATGCCACCAGGTACCTGCGTATGACCTGAGGCACAGCTTCCAGGCCTACACGAGCAGCATGACCACCAACTTGACTAAAAGGTCAAGGAGAATACACATGGAACATGACCTCTGACATGACCGGAATCAAGGGAAATAGACACGTCTTCTAGCCAATTACATTGTCTTTGGTGAGTGGGGAAACTGCTAGAGAATGCCCTCCTGTCCTCCCCTTCCTTAACCTATATAATCCTGGAATTTTTCTTGTAAATATTTGTTTATTCTTATTGGAAAGTCAGTTATACAGACAGGAGGAGAAACAGAGAGAAACATCTTCCATTTGATGGTTGACTCCCCAAGTGGACGTAATGGCCAGAAATGAGCCGATCCAAAGTCAGGAGCCACGAGCCTCCTCTGGGTCTCCCATGTGGGTGCAAGGTCCTAAGGTTTTGGACCATCCTCAACTGCTTTCCCAGGCCACAGGCAGGGAGCTGGATGGGAAGCAGGTTGGCTGGGATTAGAACTAGGTTACCACACCAGGCCCTAACCCTGGAATTTGTGGTGAATAAGCAGGCATTCCTCAGCAGCTTGTCTCTGATGGTTCTTTGGCTGAAGATCACCGACGCCTCTCCCTCTGTGACTTCGCAGCCTGCTGGCAGGCTTAAATCCCGAGACTATCTCTAATTTATGATAAACTTGAAAACAAATATGTAAAGGAAAAATTACTCTTTGTGTTCAACTCTAC